TGTGCTCTTTCTGTCTTCTTGTCGGCCTTGGTGTCAAAAAAACTCTCTTTCTTTGTTGCTGTCTCTTCTGTGCTCTTTCTGTCTTCTTGTGGGCCTTGGTGTCAAGAAACTCTCATCTTAAGTTGATTTGCTTTAAGTTGATTTGTTTTGTTTCTGTCTCTTCTGTGCTCTGTCTGTCTTCTTGTGGGCCTTGGTGTCAAAAACTCTCATCTTAAGTTGATTTGCTTTGTTTCTGTCTCTTCTGTTGCTCTTTCTGTTCTTGTGGGCCTTGGTGTCAGAAAACTCTCATCTTAAGTTGATTTGCTTCGTTTCTGTCTCTTCTGTGCTCTGTCTGTCTTCTTGTGGGCCTTGGTGTCAGAAAACTCTCATCTTAAGTTGATTAGCTTTGTTTCTGCTCTTCTGTGCTCTGTCTGTCTTCTTGTGGGCCTTGGTGTCAAGAAAACTCTCACCTTAAGTTCATTTGTTTTGTGTCTGTCTCTTCTGTGCTCTGTATGTCTTCTAGTGGGCCTCTGTGTCAAAAAACCTCTCATCTTGAGTTGATTAGCTTTGTTTCTGTCTCTTCTGTGCTCTTTCTGTCTTCTTGTGGGCCTTGGTGTCAAAAAACTCTCATCTTAAGTTGATTTGCTTTAAGTTGATTTGCTTTGTTTTTGTCTCGTCTGTGCTCTTTCTGTCTTCTTGTGGGCCTTGGTGTTTAAAAAAAAATCTCATCTTAAGTTGATTTGCTTTGTTTCCGTCTCTTCTGTGACCTTTGTGCCTCCCATGCACCTCGTAGTGATGCAAGTGGTGCTGTGGAATGCCGCCGACTTTTTTAGCATTTTCTCTGTCATTTTTGTATCCGACGCCCTTGTGGAAAGTCGGGGCCCAGTTTGTCAAAAAACAGTGCATTAATGATCCCAAAAAGTCTTATTTTTTGCTGTGTTTACCAGTGTTTTATGAACATTGCCCTTCAAAGCTTTTGAATGCCGGAAAACAATAAAAACATCAAAAATTGCCTCCCGTGCAGGAAAAATGCAACTTTTTGAGGGCAAATAAGCTCAACACAAACCCACCCAAAGCAACTTTTTACTGTAAATTACAGTGTTTTTTGCACCTTCGAGCCTGCCTCAAGACACCCCAAAAGTCTGCAAATCACAATCTCGAACTTTCACCCCCCCCCCCCCCCCCCCCCAGCAAAACCTACCGGGGAGAAACTCAAAGCGATATTTATCGCTTTCCGTCATCAGCTTGGCCCCCCTCCCCCCCCCCCTTCCCTTTCGGTAATACTTCCAAGCGCTACAGCGCTTTCCGTCATCACTCCTAGTAGCTTCTTGTTCCTAGTAGTAAGGCACTTGTTACTAGAAGCGATGCACTTGTTACTAGTAGCTTCTTGGAACATGTCTTCAGCTGTCTCAACTACTGCAACAGTTGGCATAAAGCCACCGAGATTTCCGCTCCAACTGTTAGCCAAAAACACGTCGCAAAAAGTGTCAACATTCACGGGTAGCCCAGTCGTGTACAAGTGGGTGTCCGGCATTGGCGCTGTCGAAGAGGTTAGGCTTCTCATTCTCACGCACCTGCACAGGAGTAAACTCTTGACCACTCAGTATGACTTCAAGCTCTTCTCACAAAGCCAGGCTGCTTTTCTGATGCCATGTTCAGGGTAGCATGCGTTCCAATTTGATTTTCCAACTATGCATTATGCTCGCTGTCTCGCTGTCACGGCGACTTTAGCCTGATGTTGTCGTTGTGTTTGTTCTGAATTTACTGATCAATTGCTGCTGTCCTTGCATAGGGCTTTGTGTTTCTGCTGTTGCTGTTGCGATTGTGGCTTGTCATCGGTGCTGTCGCTATGTTCAGAGTATGGGTGTATGTATGTGCACTGCACAAGGGTTAAATTATTGGGGGGAGTTGTTGTATATAATATACTTATATACAATTCAAAAAAACAGCTTGTGACAGCTTGTGGTTTGCTTGTCTTTGCTGTTCGAATTGTAACTCATTGTTGGTGATGCGATGTTTTTGATTTCTGTGCCACTGGTGGGATGCTGACGAATAGTACTGCCGCTGGACCACTGGAATTGACACTACGAATCTTTTGAAATACCCCAAATCATGGTTTCCACTCCTGTTGGGAGGAAAACAAGCTCGTTTGACGCTACAAGCAAGTGAGATTTGACTTGTGGAGATAGTCCCAGAACATGAGCTCTTCTCGATGAGCTGGCGAGCATTGAATCATGTGATTGCCAAACAATTATCCAGCTTTTCGATACAGTCCTGGGAAAAAGAACTGCAGCACCATGCCTTTACCTCCAAACATGATCATGGTATGTTCCCTGCTTTCCATAGCCTTCTGGGTGGAATTGCTATGCATCACAACGCTGGGAACGGCGATGTTGCTGCTGAGACCACGATCACCATAACCTTCAAACTGTGATTGCAATGAGTCATCTCAGACATCCAGAGCCGAACGCTGAAAATCTGGACAAAACAAAACGACTACTAGCGTGGCACTTGTTACTACTAGCGTCCTTGTTACTACTAGTAAGGCACCTGTTACTACTAGCGTGGCACTTGTTAAACAAAATGACTATATACAGATGAGATTGATGCGCGTCTTTGTTTCACTTCCAGTCCCACTTCTTCAGTGCCTTTTGCAGGACGACCTTTGTTTTGGAGGCTCTAGCCAGTGTTTGTCAATCTGGATCTCAAAGGTTCCTTTAAAAAACACACACGTTTTTAGCAGGAAGAAAAAGGTCTAACCATGTCTAACCCCACAAAGGAATGAGACAGTGGTATATACTTTTGCATGATTCAGAAAAGTTCCTCCGATTGCAGCCAGAACATAAGTCTGACTCGTTTCGGTTCTTTGCATAGCAGATCTCTGATTGCATGCAAGCTGCGAAGCTGGTACGCTGCATACAGCCTAGGCCGCCAATAGTAGTCACTGAAGGCTGTCCAAAAATAAACAACAATTACGTCCATTTTCCCACCTCACTGAACACCAGGGTTCATCTACTTACTATTTCATAATCATCGGTGCGCTGCGTGTTGGCACACCATTCCACGCTCGCAGTGGGAACAAAAACTGTGCCACCGTGGCACTGTGTGTGCATGCCCTCCTCCTGTGCCACTTGGTCCAGCTTCAATAAGCGCAGCTTGTCCTCCGTCGAACAAGTTGGTTATCAGAGTGCAACATCTCTACATATTCTTACTCATATGTAACATTATGTATATAACTGAACTGTATAATTACACCGGCCTAGTAGGCATAGACCCCAGATTGGACACCGGCATTAACCAGAGGCACAAAGGAGACAAGACTATACAGTAGCATGAAGGGAGACAAGGCAGCAGCGGTGCAGCAGCAGCAGCAGCGCAGCAGCGGCGCCAAAAACGCCACACCGTTGAGAAGTAAGAAACTGTCTAGCTTGCAGCTATCTGGGGAAAAATGTTTGACTTGGACTTGAACCAATCAACTGCAACACCACAACCCACCTCCAAGCAAACATGCATTCAAGTGACAACTTCACAACTGCCGACACTAAACTCACTGTGTTCCCGTGTTGTCAGCTGGTGGTAATGGCACGCATCCGTTTCAAGCCTCATGGCGGCCAGCGGTCTTACCTAAGAGGCGGCCCTCGCAAACGCTTAGAGCAACGCGCTTGACTCAAGAAGCTCCAACAACCAATGTGGGCGTAGGCGTAGGCTTGTCTATCCCCGTTCTCGTGAGGGGCTCCGTCTCATCCAACTGGCCCATAATCAAAGCACTTGGGTGGAGTGGATGAAGGTGGTCATGCGGCATGGTCATGTGGGTTCTACATCCATCCATGGGTCCGTGCCATCCAATCCACTAGCTCTTCTGCAGGCTGCTGTCAAAGCGATGTTGAGCCCACTCTGAGGCAAGCTGGCCATATGTCTCACATGATCCGCATTGCTCAAAGTGTGATTCACACAGTCCCAACCCGCTCTGGCTAAGCCGCTCCCACTCGCAACTCGTCGGGAGCAAATTCATCTTTCACTGCCGAAAGACCCAGCACGGAGTTGAGAGGCGGTGAAGGAGGTGTCGAACGAGTGGACAGTGCCGGCAAGTGGAGAAGCCACGTACAGAAGTCCAACCGAGCAAGAAGGTTCTGACCGACCAATAGCCATTCGAGGAACATGGACTCGAACACAGGCTGTGTCTTGCAGCCAAAATGCCACAACAGCAACACAAATCAAGACTGAGTGAGCCACCTGGCAGTCAGCTGAGGTTCACAAGTTTTTGCCGCGCATGTATGATGCTCTCCCGTATATGTACACACCTACTACAGAAGAATTAATATGTATATTATGTATGTATATATAAATAGAATCTTTCTAATAATTTTATATATATATAACATATATTTAGTATACATAATGATACATGTGTCAAATTCTCCAAGAGACCGTGAGATCGTCTGCAAAGGAGCAAACCGTGCTGAAGCAGTCCTCACGCGTCTTCGCATCATGCCATGGCCCTGGTAGCAAGGCAAGCGCGGCTAAAGAGCCATTGGCCTGGCGGCGCAGCTAGAGATGTCACCCGAACAGCCATGACCTTCATGGTGACTATCCGATCCGCAACAAATCCTGTTTTACAAATTTCATTGCCGACAATGGTGGCATCTTTCCACCCAAGAGCTAACATCGCTCAGATCATTTTCCCGCTGCTGAAAACCTTTGTCTTCATTTCAAGCTCCACCATTGCCAAATCTTTCCTTGGCTGTGGGTGGGTGGGAAAACAACATAGTGGCAGCACCTTGAGCCAAAATGGCCCCACCCCAGCTGCCACTCTACTTGTCCAGCAGAAAAACTTTGTTTTTCTTTCACGACAATGGTGGCATCTTTCCACCCAAGAGCTAACATCGCTCAGATCATTTTCCCGCTGCTGAAAACCTTTGTCTTCATTTCAAGCTCCACCATTGCCAAATCTTTCCTCATTGCCTGGCGCGATGGTGATGCATTTCAGGCATGTCACAGTCGTCAGGTCGGTTCCGAAGGCAAAGTTCGATGCCCCATACGGCCAACCGCATTTTGTATGCCAGCTCATCACCGGTGAGGCAATCGGTTGCCGCTTGTTTTCGTGGATGGTGCCATTCTTCGAAATTACGGTGGGAGGAAGCAAGCCTTGGTGCTTTGCGGACATCTTTTCCCACCTGACCAAGGAGTCTTCCAACTTGTCTTGGGCGACCTTCAGCTTTTCCAATTCGAGTTTCATTCTTGTCTCCATCTCTCTGGTTATTTCTTTCACCTTCGTCGCGTTCACATTCTTCACCTCCTCCTTTTGGTCTTTGTTGGACGCGGTAGTCGCCGGCGATGTGTCCTTCCTGCTTTTGACTGGCATGCTCTCCAGGGCCTCCTCCGCGTATTCTAAGATGACATTGGATTTCCATCTTCCCAAATAAGCCACTTGGGGTACATGCCACCCTCTGCGGATGTATTGGAGGGCTCCTGATCTCCTTCCAGAGTGTCCAGACACCTTTCTTCCAAATAGTTTCCGCCAGGCTTCGATAATTTGGCCCTTCGTCACCTCGTCCTCTTTGTCGCCATGTACCAATTTGTCTTCCTCAATCGGGATGTGGTCCAGGGCGGTTCTGGTAATCATGAAGGGGCACGTTTCTTCCCATCCGCAATCTCCCTGGCAGCAGCATTGTAAGGTGCGCCTCATGCCCTTTCCTTCCTGATCCGTCTTCGTGAGCCTCAAGGTCAAGGTTACCAGCTTCTCTTTGTCATCAATGAGGATGTCTTCCTTGTGAATTGCTGCTAGCTCCACCTCCCTCAGCATCCATACGGTGGCTACCGCGAACATCAGGGCTGGCCTATGCACCACGCCCTTCGCTGTCTCGTTAGTTTCCAGGCGGCACGCTTCCTGCCATCTCTCTTCTTCCACTTCTGCAGCCTTCTTCGCTGGCCCCTTTGCCCGGTTTATGGCCTTCGCCACCTGGCCGAAGGTCTTCTGCAGGAGGAGGGACCAGGGTACTCCTTCTTCGATCAACATGTGCTTGTACTCCGTCAGGTAGGCCACCCCCGCCTTGTAGTCGGAGTCCCTCAGCACCGTCCCCAACTGTTCCATTGCGTTGCATGACCACCTTTGTTCTTTGTGTCTCAGCCCCAGGTTTTCTAGGATCTTTTCCACAGTCTTCCTGATCGATGCCCTTGCCCTCCTCGACGAATTGGCGTAGTATTCTTTCCTGAAGTCCGACATCGCCGAATCCTTCTTGAGCCTGTTCAGCCTGAAGTTCCGAGCTGTCTGAATGGCTGTCTTCCACTTATGTTTCTGGTTTCCCTTCACCCCGGGCCCTTTTGACCGTAGCCGTGGTAGATCATGCCTCTTTCTCGAGATTCCTTTCTTCGCATGGCTTTTCCGTCCTTCGTCACCTCGAGAACCATTATCTCCCACTTGCTGCCATGCGTCCTCGAAGAGGCCCCCACCTCTCGGAGCCTCTTCTTCCCCTCTCTTCCTCTTGGCTCCCCCCTTCAGGAACCATAGTAGTCCTGCTTCCTTCGCTTCCTCCTCGATCAAGGTTTCCCCCGCCAGTAGTGGGTTCCACACTGAGCTCGCCCCCGGATCTGGTGGTTGCGGTGGAAACGGAAAATTCTCTTCGTCCGATGGCCCTGCTTCTTCTTCTCCTTCATCTCCCCCTGTCAGAGCTGCCAGTTGTCCTTCGTGTTGAGCCTCCTCGTCACCAGCCATACCATGTCCCCAGATTCCCTCACTGCTTCCCTGAGCGGTGGTGAGGCCATCCTCGAAGACTCCCCCGGCGTCGTCCTCTCCGCGGAAAACTCCCCTGGTGAGTCTAGTTCCGCTGACCAATAGGGTGGTGGGGACCGTGTATCTCTCGGAGGAGTTGCCATCCTGTCCAAAAGACTCCTCCACTGTTCTGGCGTCGACGTATCTGCCCTCGTGTTGTTCAGGGTGTCCCTGTGCCTCAACCTCAGCTCCCCATCCGGCATGTCGTTGATAGGTGGCGTCCAGGCTTGATCCAAATCGCGGTCCATGTCCCACGGTTCCACCCACTCGGCGTTGTCCTCCGACTCCTCTTTCTCGTCTTCTGCCAACCAAGACCTCCATGGGGAATCCCGCGGAAGACGAAATTGCGCCCACTTGTGTCGTACCACCTTCGCGCAGTAGTAGAAGGCTCCGATGTGGCACAGGATCCCGGTGCCTACGAGGTAGAAAATTAAGCAGGCTAGCCATGTGGGTGTCCAGCCGCCCTCTACTACAAGCAGAGGGGGGTCTAGGGGCGGTTGGCTCAGGGCCACCTCCATTTTGAGCCTGCGAAGGACTGCCCATGCGACAAACGGCCGACCTACCAGGTTCCGAGGTTCAAAACTCCCCCCCGACCCTTCCTTCCTCCCCTTTCCTTAGCACCGTTTTCACAGGCCTGTGTAGCTGCCGTATTAACGGTTTGCCCAGGCAGCCAACAAAGCTTCTGAACCTTGCCAGTCTGCTTCGTCCGGCCCTGGAGGTCTCAGGCGGTACCACTCTGTCGTCCGCTCAGCAGGCGTTTCGATCTGGATACCTGCTAGAGCCTCCGGCAACGGTGTCGTGGCCCAACAGTCTGGCCTTGAGAGGAAATCCGCTTCTTTGTTGGCCGTTCCTGGCAGGTGTATGGGCTTCAGGTCCGCAAGGCCCAAGGCTTCGCATTCCACTGCCAGTTCTGCGCCCAGGAAGTTGAGTCCAGGGCTAGAGTTGGAGAACCGTTGAGTCATCGCCAACGCCGTCACGCTGTCCGACTGAACGTTCAAGGCGACGCTCACTGTGGTCAGGAGAGGCGAGGCGTCCGTCATGATGGTCACCTCAGCTTTCCCACTCTTGTAGAGGCAGAACTTCCTGATCGGCCGCTCCTTCGCTGCCGCCAAGTATGCTATCAGCCAAACTCGAGCTCGTTCCACTCGTTTGACTGGTATCAGATGGTCCTTCTGCCGCCCGTCCGTCCTTTGTGCCCTCCTTTCTGCTTCTTTGCCTGCGGCGACATCCTCCTCATGGCTGTAGAGGGCAGCATACAAGGAGGCTGTCACCCACCTCGCTCTGGGTAGTACCCCTGCTAGCCAAGCTACCCGGCCTGCAGCTTTGCGAAGTTCCGTGCCCCCAATCATCCCTTTACCTTCCCAACTCTGCAGCTGCTTTTGCAGCTCATCCATGAACTTCTCCGGCAGGGTCACCAGCAAGTAGTCGTAATCCGGTGCCACCAACTTGAAGTTCACTCCGATCCAAGTCACCGCGGCCGCCCGTTCTCCCTTCGCCAGCGACAGCCGCAGTCCTAAGGCGGCCATTGTGGTGAGAACGCAAGCCAAGGTGCTATTCCTCGATGCCAGAGTCCCGCACAAAGCCCATAGAGAGTCGTCCAGGTAGACCTGGTGCATCCCTCTGTCGGCTGGTATTATCGATTGCACCAGCCGTGCCACTAGCGCCGCCACCCTGCTCCAAGTCAGCGGAGCCGTTTTGTAGCCGAACAGCAAGGCTACGAACAGCAGCCAGTGGTCTCCATCGAGGGCTGGAGCAAGACAATGACCCTTCTCCTCCTCTGCTACTGCCAGGTGCATGTAAGCGTCCGACACATCGATCATCACTAGCTCCATCACCTTGTCCTGCGGTCTCACTGTCGCTCCATTCGCCGCATGCATCCTTCTCAGCATTGCTATTGCATCCGCCGGGCGAGGCAGCACCAGTCGTTCAGGCAATTTTGCTTTTCTGTTGCCCCCTGACCGACGTAGATCTATGATGATCCTCCTTTTCTTGGTGCCGTTCTCCTTGACTTTCACGATGAGACCCAGCTTGGAGATCGTTGTGCCTCGAAAACCTTTCTTCTCTGCTTCCGCCTTCTTCACCTTGATGGCGTACCCGCAGTGGATGAGCCTGTCGATCTCCACCTTCGCGTCCTCCTCCTGCTCCACCACCGACGTGTAGTTGCCAATGTCCTCACGCAAGCCCTGCGCTGCTTGGACATCCCCTCCTTCCTGCAACTCGTCGCCCTTCAGTGTAGGTGGAAAGATGCCGCACGTTTTGATGGGTAATTCTATGCCTAACGGCACTCCATCTTTGATCCACTTGTGCACCTCCGTCTCAGGGTCATTGGCTCTTCGGCCCCATGCTTCAAAGAGGTTGTAATCCAGCGGCGACTCATAGGACCACTTCTCCGTCAGCTTCACCTTAGCTGCTCCCTTCGCCCCGGTGAGTTTCCTCAGTTCCTCCTTCCACCTTTCAATCCACCTCCATTCCAACACGCACTCCGGTGTCCCGTAGGTCTCTCCCACCTTCACCGCCTGGGGGTGTTTCGTGCAGCGCCGTTCCCAAGCTCCCAAGATCCTCCTTCCCAGGTTCTGCAAGGGTGGTAGTCCTTCTACCGTCTCCATCGGGTTCTTCATGCCACCCACGAAGTCCTGCTGTTCCAGCCTTTGTTCCTTCTTCACCTCCTCTCTCAGCATCCCATACTTTCCTTCTCCGGGTTTCCATCTCATGTCTCCTGACTTTTGGCTTTTCGCCTTCCTTTCGGCTTCAACTTCTCTCCTCCTGTCTTTGCTTCGCCCCCTTCGACTCCTTGACCTCGACCGTCTCCGCTCCGTCGATGTCCTTGTCCCTCGCTCCCTGTACCTTTGTCGCTCGTCCTCTTCTCTGGCCCTTCTTGAAGTCGTCGGTGCTTCCGATGTCCCGCCACCTTCAAGTCCTCCTCGGCGATCGCGTTGAAGTTCAGGGGATGGTGACAACTTCACGCCCTCTCGGTTTCTCTTCTCCCTCATCTGTGTCGCAGCCGCGTCGCAAGTGGACATTGCATCGTGTTCTTGTGAGCCCTCCCTCAACCTTCCTTCCAGGTACTCGGCCTCGGCCATCATCCGGAAATGCTCCATCAACAGGCGTGCATAGGCATCGCATAGCTCCAGTGGGTACTCCCCCGACTCTTGGGACTCCTTCTTCCCCACGATCGGACGGTGCCTAGCGCTGCCGCATTTGCACTCCCTGTTCAAGGACTCGATGCCGTAGAGCGTGCCTGCGAATTGCTGGGGCTTCCAGTGTCGATCGCCTCTTGCTCGATCAGCTTGATACGCGCAAGTGTTGAACAGGGCGATCTTCACACCGCTCAACCTCAGATAGCCCACCATCTCCGTCATGGCCCAGGCCGATACGTGATCCTCCACGTCCGAAGGTGGCGGGTTTTCCATCGAAGTGGCCTTGCAAACGATGGAGGAGGAGGGGGCTTTGGCCATCTCTTCTGCCAGCTGAACTGAGCGAGCCATCATCACTGTTCCTCTGTCACACTCCCGCTGCTGTTCCGGGGTGTTGGCCTTCCGCCCGTACGGTTCGGCTCGGGTTCTGACAGGTCCTGGTAGGTTTGGTGTATCCCTGAACCTCAGCCGCGAATACGTGGAGCAAGGAAAGCCCGCATGGAACTCGTCGATCAATCCCTCCTTCGCCCAACCAAGGTGAGTGTTGTAGGGTTCGTCATCACACAAATCCTGTCCCCAGTCCTTCTCTGCCGCGATGACTTCCACGTTGAGGCCCGCTTTCCTTGCATTCCGATGTACCGCAGCACCCAACGGATCCCTCGGTCCCGCATAGTGGTGAAGGAAGCGGAACTTTCTCTTCTTCACATAGTCCGCCAACTTGCCCTCTAGCTTCTTTCTGGCTGCTTCGTTGCTCTCCCCTTCGCCGCTTCCTCCTTCCTCCTCCCGTCTTTTGCCCCCTTCGTCTTGTTCATCTTTTCCCCCTGATTCGCCTCCCTGTTCACCACTCTTCACTTCTTGGTTCCGCATTTGTGTTGCGGGTGACCTGGCGACCCGCAGGATGAACACTTGTGCATCCGCTTCACCGTGTTCGCGCACTCGGCACCCGGCGGCAATGACCCACAAGGCGAATTCCCGTTGTTCCAGGAGAAACAGATCGATTCGGCCTGTTTCCCTCCTCTTCCTTTCTTCCCTCCGCTCTTGCCTCCTTGCCTTCTTTCGAAACCTCCATCGTTTCTGGATTCTCTGAGTCTTTGCAATTCCTCCCTTTCTGCCTGCCATTTCCTCTTCTTGGCTTCTTTTCGATCTCTGTTGACCTGCCTTCGACTTGATGACGGTGCCGATGTTGAAGTCATCCCAAATGATCCTGACTCCATCACTGGTAGTAGTGCCTCGGCTCCTCCACGCAAGTTCCCTTGTGCAATAGACTCCTGAGGGGTTTGTGCTCTCCCTTTGGCTCCGTTGGCTAACCATGCCAGGGCTGGACCATGAATCTGGTCCTGCCAAAATTTCAGTTCGTTCGGAATCAATTTGAAGACCCCTTCCCATGGTTTGTTCTCGTCGAAGTGCGGGGGAGGTGCCTTGCCTTCCTTCGTGCCCATGGTGATCTTCAGGCGTAGCCTCGACAACAGCTCGCTCCTGGCCATCTCGTCCGCGGCATACACCAAATGCCAGGCGTCCGGGTACAGGCGAACCATCTTCTCCACGAACAGCTCGTATCCATGCAAGGGCGCCAGTGAGCATTCCTGCAACATGATCATGGCCGTGGTGAATACTCTGTAGCATGCCCGCCATTGAGTGAAGTTCGATGGACCTGGCAATTCCTTCGAAATGTAGCCATCCGCCGTGGGCACCCATGTCCTGTACTTCGAAGCCCTCAATGCCTTCCGTCCGAAAGGGACGAATACTCCAAAGTCCGCGTAGGGTGGTTTCCCAAGGCTCAACTTCTTCTTCAATGCCGACAACTGTTCTATCGTCGGCTCCTCCTCTTCCTCCGGCATCGACCCCGTCGTATTGATGTACTTCTGCAGGAGGAGCAATTTGTCGTCCTCGGTGAGGACTTCGAATTCGCCGTCGTCGCCTTGGTCCAGTACCTGGGTGAACTTCAGGGTCCTTTCCTTCGTGTCCTTGTCGTCCTTCTTGGATGAAGTTGCCGTCCGTTTCGATGGTGAGGTTGTTGAAGGTGCATCCCATGGGTCCTCTTCGGTCCAGTCCTCCCATAGTCCTCCTCCCTTCGTGTACATGATGCGCCTCGCCAGCTTCCAGACCAGTCCCACTTGTGCAGCCTGAACAGCAGAAAGCGGTCGGCCCCCGGGCAACGAGGCTTGACTCAGAGCCGCAGCCACCAATTTGCCCGGCAGCGCTGCAAGCAAGCGCGGATCGTCGCCAGTGGCCCCCACTTCCTGCGTGAAGGCCGACCAAAGCTCTGCCTCCACTCGGAAATGGGCCGTCATGTCCGAAATCGTCTCCATGGCCAGCGCGGCCGACACGGCCGGAAACATCGCTGCACGCGAGGGGCAGCCACCACCACCATGAAAACAACATAGTGGCAGCACCTTGAGCCAAAATGGCCCCACCCCAGCTGCCACTCTACTTGTCCAGCAGAAAAACTTTGTTTTTCTTTCACCAAACCTGAACCAATCGCAAGAGATCTGTTCCTTTGTGTGAATATATATATATATATAGATAGATATATATATATGTATAGTTCGCTTGTTGCTGGCTGATTAGCCTCAAGCAACATGTCCATTAACACTTGTAGGCCATGCAAAATGTTTACATAGCATGCTTCGAGTTGTTGGACCCTATGACACCTCTGCGCGGTCCAAGCGTTGGCCCAGGCGCTGACCACCTCAAAGCAGCTGGAGAATAAACCCACAAGAAACAGGATCTTCCAGGACTCTTGAACAAAGCTCATGAGAGAGGTTTGAAATACAGTACAAAAAAAAACGAAGAATGAAGGCAGTGATTCGCTAAAGCACCTAGGGCAGTGTTACGAGCCTGGTGCCACACTTCCGCAGGATAGCAAACACATGCAAACACATACAAACACTATCCAATATCACTGGATCGGAATGACTGGAATGGCTTTAACAGACTAGAATGTTGAAGCATGTTGCCTATGGCCTCAGTGCATGATTTGGACTGGTTTTGTTTCATGCCTCCACCCGGAATCATGAGAAGCATTTCGTAGATCGTCAAGGAAGGAACCTCCCCAGTCGTCCGAAGCCTCAAACAGGTCACAAATGTCGCCATGAAACCCATAACAGCTGCAAGGCTCGTCTGAGTCTAAGCTTGCGATATCTGCAATTGACAAGGAAACACTTCAAGTTTGTTGGCGTGTCTTTGGGGCTCACCTGTGCACGTCCTCAATGTAGGTCTTCACGATGTCCAAATACGTGGCCCTCCTTCCCGGACAAGGCTGGTTGCAGAGTATGAACGGCAAAAGCTCTGGGAACAAGAAGCTACTAGGGGCTCCTGGCATCGCTACTCTGAGCAAGGACGCTACTAGGGGCTCCTGGCCTTGCTACTATGAACAAGAAGCTACTAGGAGCCCAAGGCATGCCTCTCCCCCTCGCCTTTCCGTTCCGAGTTGCCTGTCATCCCCCGCGACTGCAGCTGCGCATGGCTGAGAAGTCAAAGATGAGACCTATACACAGAGATGAAGATTCTGCACTGGAGAATATCAGCACAAAACAAAAGGAATCTAAAGTGGTTTGTTCTGCATTGCTTACACTCACTTGAGATAGATCTACTTCATCCTTTTCTCCAAAGTCATGCCTCATCTCTCTTGACATACACACTTTTCGGTCTATCTATAGAGAGAGAGAGGGACTAGAAGTTGATGGACAGATCTCAATGCAGTCAACAACATGAATATTGACTCGACTGTATTCACTCTGTCCGAGCAGCTTGAATGTCCAAGTGTTGCGCCAGTCTCTGCAGGCGCCGCATCTTGCAAAGAAGTGTGGTGGTGACTCTGAGTGGGTGGCTTCAGAAGGTGCTTACTGAAAAATGAAGGTTCAAAGCACATGTGTAGGGGTTTCGTTGTGTGCCCGCGGATTGCAAAGTCTGCAGCAAGTTTGGAAGATTGGATTTGATTGATGAATATCCATCCCGGGGTCATGGAACTGGAGCGGCAAGAGTTGCATTCTTCCTTTCCATCTGTGTATTGAGCAAAGGGTCAGTGCTGGAGCCAAGAAACGAGCCGTAAAACAGTACGATTCTGGAGGTGAGACAATCAAAATCAGACCCCTGCCAGAGCGGTTGAAAGCGTGCCACTTCTTCCACTCTGCCATTTCCAGTGACCAGTGAGGCAAGAATCATAGAGACTGCTGACATTCGCTACAATTCTGAAGAATCACAAAGAAAGTTCAACTCGTTAGGAACACATGAAGATCAAAGATCTTTGGGAGTTTTGAGGGTGTCTTGGTCTCAATAGACAGACCATTCATCTACACGACTGACTACCCTAATCACGATTGAGATTCAGTGTGCGGATCTGTAGTGTACAAACCTGTGCCTCCTCCACCTGATCACGCGGCTGTCTCCACGGCCTCGGCACCTCGAGACAAGGCTTCTGTTCAAAGGGCTTCAGACTTGGAAGACGAAAAACTCAAGATAGATGAACACTTGTCTGTCGCAAGCAAGATGCTATGGTTCAAGCTCGATATTTAAAAAGAAAATAAACAGAAAGCCGCCCCATTCTAAGGCTGGCACCGTCCAATAGGAGTCTTCCACTTCCATGGGACTGTACTAAGTGTCCTCAATGTAGAGGACCGAATCTGTTGTGTCTGGAAAATGTTACGGCTGCTTTGTCCAAGAAGGGCTCACAATGATGGAGAAACCTCGCCAAGGGTCGGGGTGGACTTGTCCCCTCGTTCTTTGCACATACGAGATGTGGGGTATCCAAATACCATGTATTTCTACAATTCTGATTTGCAGGAATTGCTATTTGCACAGCAAAGCCTCATGTGGTCGATGGATGCAACATGACATGAACGGCCATTCGAAAGAAAAGCTGCTTCGGACAAAAATATGTTGAGGAATAATATTCTGGTCAAACTGCTTGAACAAAACTGGCTGCAAGCAGGAAGAACAATTCATAGCCTCATGTAATCTGTGGTCGGGCTGACAACCACCTGAATCGGATTCCAAGTACTCAAACATTCATTCAATAGTGCAAGACCCAAGCTGAGAAAAGTCGCTTCAACCATCAATCCAACCAAAAGTGCTGCGGCTAAAGAAACCTGTCCTTCATGTGAATCAGAATCGTTTACCTGGACATGTTTACCTACCGTGGATTTCCGCTTTGCAAGTCGGACCCAAAGATATGTGAAAATCACTGGGAAGGCATGGGAAGACAATACAGGGCTGGACGGTCAGCAGTGTTTATACTGTTTCGCATGGTGCTGTACAGGTAGCACAGTGACTGATAAAGCACGAGCAATTCACAAAAACTCCGACATTCCTATACTGTATACGTAAGATGTAAGAGCTGCAGGCCATTTCATCAAAGTCTTTTGCAGGGGCTCTTAAGCTGTGGCGAACGTGCAAAGGCTAGCCAGTCAGAAAGGGTGAAGCAAATTGACGCGGCGCTCGGCTCTCAACTGGCTCAATCCTCCCGATAGCCTCACAAAGCAGTGCATCCCGACTCACTAGTCAGGGCAAAAGAAAAGTGTTTGGCTCTCACACTGGAGTGATGGTGACATGGGTAATTACATGGAGTCATTCTTTCGCTTCTTTGTTCTGAAGAATCATGTCGCAGGCGACACCCTGTGATGACCACTCATTCATCTGGAAAAAATAGCAATGGCGAAACTATGACAGGACATGCAAATTTGGAGAATCCATAATGAGTGTCAGGTGACTTGATCACGAACATTCTCTAGATTCCTGTTTCCCAAACCACTACTAGGGTGACTGTGTTGTGTCCATGGACTATTTGATTGCAGTCCTTTTTCTATCACAAGCCAACAGCAACAAAAAACTAAAGATCATGCTGAGATATCATGACCGACTTTGACCTTGCCAAGCTGCCCCAATAGCGGCCCGTGAGGTTGGCATCCGAAGGTGCAGCTCTGCTGGGGCCTTTGGATGGGAAGGCTGTGCCGTTGCTTCAGCTGAACAGTTAGACGGTGTCACCCCTGGCACCCTCTGGGCACCCTATCTGGTGCTTCCATCAGGGCCAAAGGGAGCCAGTAGCCAGAGATCCAGTTGATGTTCTGACTTCGAAGCATGACTTACTGCATATTCCCACTAGGCACAGCTACTGAGAGGGAATCGGGGCTTTGTCGACATATGTCCGGACTGACAAAAGCACTGCCAATGAATGTGTGATGGGGTTGTCACTCCCAGCAAAAGCGCGGTGACTCAAATCCACACCTGCTGTGCTGCTGCCTGCAGGTGAAGATACCGAGGTCCTGCAATCTTTGCACAGTGCCACAAAGAAGAACAAATATAATGTGCTTCTCTTGAGGCTGGAATAACAACCCTCTAAGCTAGATAAGGTCCAGCCAAATGTGCAAATAGTCTGAAATGCCATATTCGCTCAGTGATCTCAAGAAGCAGCAGGGCGAATCCTGCATTTAAAAAGAAAACTGCTTCATCCCAGTGGACTTCCTGAAGACCACGACCGCCAGGAAGCATGCCAACACCAGCACTGCATCAACATTAGGGTTGGCAACTACCTGCCGGAGACACCATAAAACAAGAAAAAACAGCAATCAAGCGTACAATGTAAAGCCTAGAAAGTTGCTAAGCCAATCCTGAGTAGATGTCTCACACTTGCCCTTCTTTGATGCATATCTTCAACTGGCGCAGTTCTAGTTGCCTTTGCTTAAGCCCTTAAGAGCAGCTTGCCTCATAGTGGTCCGCCGGCAGCTTGCCCTTGGGGCGCCACACAGCCGTGGCCTTGTAAACAAGGCGGTTTGATGACACATGGCAGATTAAGAGCCTTACGTAATTACGTAAGTGCAACGTTTGGGGCATTGCCCTGATCGTCATTGCTGAAATCAGCGCAGCAAACGAACGAATAAAAAAAGAACAAACAAGTTACAAACAAACTAACTAACTAACTAACAAACTAACTAACTAACTAACTATATAACTAAAATGGGGAAAGAAATGTCCTTTTCCTGTGCAGGTGTTTCTTCAACGGAGGTAGGATTGGAGATATATCATATAGCTCTTCCCATGCCCATGTCCATCTCGTTCCCTTCTCTTGGGCCAAAAAAAGCGGTCACTGCTTAACCGGACTGCCCACGACCGACTGCCCAAATCTAGCCGTGACTTGAAGACTGCATAAGCACAATCTGTGGGTAAAACTGCCATTTCTTGCATACTTTGCTATATGCAGAAGTCAACCAGCGTATAGAGGTACGTTTGAGCCGACAAGTGTGCTGACTTCTCAGTGCGAAGCTCGTTCAATGACACGACCTCCTGAAATAGACGTCATCTTGTAGTCCCTACGGTCCTGCAAAAATTCTTCAAGCAAACGCCGTAGCTAGTAGGATCTTTGGCTGTGCTGCTGCGCTGCCGCTACAGCTTACAAAACAATGCTTGAGACATAGCTTGGGCATGTCCAGTCCAGCATGCATCAAATGCTCTGAAAGTGATTTCTGACCCAAACAGCAGAGATTCTGAAGGAGCTGATTCTTGGGAAAACAATATGGAAAAACACATCAGTGACATCTCCGGTCCTGACGAGTGCTGACTGCCTACAGCTGTGCCAAGCAAAAAAACACATTGAGCAAGGAAGATTTGCTTGAGCTACTGATAGCTACTGCTTCCTCAATTTTGACATTGGATCAACGTAAAAGTAAAAATGTCACGTCCCTGAGAGTCCCGGCCAGCAAAGGCCTCCCAGCACGATCCCGCAGGGTTTGCTGCAAACTATTGGGGTCGTCCTGCGCTTTTGGTGAAACTGAGGCGCTTTTGGTGCGAGATGCAACTGAGTCTCTACCTGCTGTAGTTCACCTAAATGAGTCTATGTGAGCACAAGTTCCCTACACGTGGCCTGTTCGGAGTCTGGAAAGTCAAGTGTCAATCAAGCTTCAGATTGCAGCTTTCGCAAGTAGTCTCTTGCAGTGGTTTTGATGGTATTGTCTTGTCCACGACAATAAGTCATCTTTGGGCTAGAAGCTTGCAGCAAAGGTACAGAAGCTAGTATGAAGTTCACAGCCTACGTGTGCTCTTGTTGTGCGCCTTAACCAAAGTGCCAAAATGTGTTCCATCGCTGCCATAGACCTCTTTGGCCTGGCGAACTTCCTTCATCATCAAGCACTGCCACTGAAAACAAGAATAAAAATATGAAATGCATAAAACATCAAGGTGTATCAGAATGCACTGGGAGTCCCAACCGCAGTGACAATCGCAAGCAAAGTACCTCGATGCAACGGGAACTGGAAGCAGGATCTACCTACGTGTAGAAGCCTTAATCATGATCCACGACTCGGCGAAGGAAATCCTCCTGTATGGATCTTTACACTACTAAAGCTTTCGGTTGTCCCACCCATTTCAACCAGAAAGAGTCAATGCCCTTCGCCTGCGCTGTGCAGGGTAATCTGGACCTTGCTCATGCCATTCTCTTGGACCAAACTGGCCGTCAGCAAAGGCACACCTGCGCTGAAAAAGTGATCAAAGTGATTCTAATTCAACGTAGTTTGTCACAATGAAAGTGTTTGAAAGTGATTTGAACTTGAAAGGTATGGTGCCTTGGCAGTCAGTCGTTCTTGATTCCCCGAAACAAACCTTTCGTGAAAAAAGTCTCCGCTGAAAGTCCATCTTCTTGGTTGAGGTGCTGGTCCGGTTCTAAAAATGCCCAGAGCACCATTCAGGGGACGTCCATGTCACACTGCGCGTGCGGGTGTGCAAAAGGCACCTCCTAAACGCTCTCAGAATCCTTCGAATCAGTTTCACATAGGTTTCTGCCCAGGTGCCTGACAATCCCAAGACATCCACCTCAAACTGCTCGTGTCCCATCAAAGGTGACACCGGCACAGCCAAGCGCGTATGCGCCGCTGGGATGACCAAAGGCGGGTACATGGTCGGAAGCTCCGGATACCAATTGTCGCCTACGTGTGATGTGGAAAGCAAGATGTTCAGAAATGATCTGACACAAAAAAAAGAAAAACATGGTCTCACATGGTATGTTGGGTTACAGAATGTTACATCACTACCCTTAGGCTTGCGTTAAGGAATGCAATGCCGTCCGGAAAAACCCAATTTTGCATCCCCACTTCCCGCATGTGCCCGTGCCCAGCCTGTGGACTTGCGTGGCAAGGCGCTGCTACCAGGAGCTGTGCCCATGACCAACGAGCGCATGGAACCATGCTCCAAAGTCGGTCGTTGGCTCATGGCTGGATACATCCTCGGAGAATGCATTCAGGTCATTTGAGACTCGTCAAGTACCATGTTCACTGGTACTGGGATGGCTGATGGCATTGGAACAACACCGCAAGTGGCTACCGAAACAAGCAGATGCCTTGCAATCTAGGCCTTGGACAGCAACCCCAAAACAAGGAACAGGAAAAGGCCAAACAAAGTTCTCATGAAATGGTTTCGGATCTGAAACAACACAAATCGTGGTCAAGGTGGGGCAAGGATTCAGCTGTGGAGAATGCAGCTACAAACAGCTACTTGCAGCTGTGTCTGTGTCTTGACATCGAGGCCCGACGACAAGCGCACTTGTATTCCTTCAAGCAGCTGCCTTCCAGAAAGCAAATGTCCAGCAGGTGATTGCTTATTTTCCAGGATCCGTGTGGGGTCACGGCGTCCTCAAAAATGGCGCCAGCGTTGGATGTCTGATGTGTTATGTGATGTTCTGAATCATTTTGTCTGAAACAAAGCCATCTACGGGATTGGCTCTTGGCTCTTGCTATCTTTTTTTGCACACCAATGTAACGGTTGCCGACAAGTCACCATCTTGCTTGTCATCACTATATCCATAGGCCATCCAGTAGAGACCGAAGACTGATGCCAAAAAGATCCCAGCAAAAATAAGAGCCTCCAACTCCAAGACTCCCAAATCAAGATGTCTCACATACAGAGAGTTTTTTTAGGTGCATTCACTTTGAGTTTGGCTCTTAAATCGATGCTGTGCCATCCCATGAAACAAAGTCCAAACGTGCGGACAACTTGCAAGCATTGTTGCTAGCTGCTGAGCAGTAAGGAGTAAGTCAGTCAAAGAGCGGAGCCCCTTTCGAAAGCATCCGAAGCAACTAGTAACAAGAAGCTACCTCCTGGCATCGCTACTAACAAGGACGCTACTAGGGGCTCCTGGCATCGAGGACGCTACTAGTATGTTTCATGGAGACTCCATGTCATGTCCGCACCTGCCAGGTGCCACCACCGACGTTATCGCGCACCACCTCCGAGGATGGCTCGGTGGGCGATGTGCAGTTGGCATCCCACGAAGCAGCTGTCATTTGCTTCAAAAGATCTAGACTCAGCACGCTGTGCGCTTGGGAGCTTGGGCGCTGGTGCCGCTGCAGGGTGCTGCTGCGGCTGTGGGCGCTTGGGAGCTTGGGTGCTGGTGGCTGGGGCCGCTGCGGGGTGCCGCCGCTTTGTACGCTTGCTTTTGGTACCGTGTACATATGTCTTTTGGTCCATGTGAGCGTTGTTCAAATCCTGTGTTTGAAGGGTGCTTACGCACACGCTTGCGCTTTGCTTACGCGACTCACGTTTCAGCTTACGCGCCATGCAAGGGACATGAAGCGCTTGCGCGGAGCTTACGCAAACAGATACGGACAAACTTTCTCCACCACACCACTACATGAGCTTACGCACTTGACTTGTTACATATTTTTATTTGGCGCCAACATCAATCATCACCTGTAAGAATAAGTTCCTCAAACAAACATGTCTCAACACATCTGACTGGTATTGATTGGTTTCCCAGTATCCCAATACTTGAAAATTGAAGCAAGCACACATGCAAGTACATGGAGAGGTCAAGCTTACGCACTTTGCTTACGCAAGCGCTACTGCTACAGCAAAAAGAATGCTTATATACGCAACCTTACGCAATTCAGGTTTTTGCTTACGCACAGTGTCCTTATGAACATGTCCTTACTAAAAATTAACATCTAGGTTTTGAACGATGCTCATGTGATGTTTTCAGGAGCGTTGAAACGCGAGCAACAAAGCTGCGACAGCTTGAATGCAATGATTTCAATGGTCTCTGGGGTCTATGCTGGCACATGTTTTTTTAATCCACACCCATGCACAGCGGCACACAGCAGCGGCACACAGCAGCGGCACACAGCAGCGCCACCAGCACCCAAGCTCCCAAGCGCACACAGCAGCGGCACCCTGCAGCCGCACCCTGCAGCGGCACCAGCGCCCAAGCTCCCAAGTGCACACATGCATCTCTTCCTATACTTGAAGTAAGAACCCCAATAGCTCACGCGATCTGGCGAATAATTGCCCACCTCCTTGTAGAAGCTCCATTCACCTGCGCTTGCTTTCTCCATGATGGCCACCAAGCCAACATTGGCTGCCTTGGAATCAACAAAAATCAAACCAACCACAAACAAAAAGACAGTAGTCACAACACGGCGATTCAGTCTCAAAGGATGCATCCCTGGCTGGACAAAGGCAAAAAGCACTAGGCCCATCAGGTGTTCACAGGTTCCTGGGCAAGTTACTGACCTCTGCACCAGCGACACTGGCGATGTCTCTACCTAGCGGTGCATTGTGAAACCAGCGTCTCAAAAGCTGGAACCGGCATTATGATTCCATCTTGACTCTGTGATACTCTGCTTCCACTCGCATTTCCTTGGATCTGCTTTGAGTTGTTATAACAGAGTTCAACCATTTCACCGCAGCGTCTCATTCATGGTTGCTGAGGCAAGGAAAATACGGTGCACAAACAACAGTGCAGAAATGAACCTATATAACAAGGAAGGATGATGAAGGCCAGGCAAGTCCATGAAAAGGCTGCCTTTTTCCCCTGCGCCTGTTGTCGGACATGCGGGGCTCCTTTGACTGCGGCTGCCTGCACTGTTGCTCAAGGAACACAGAGAAGTCCGTGAAAGAAGCCTTCAGATTTGTTCAGAGGCTCACATGATCACATATGCAGTAGTTCTCATGTCAGTGGTTGCCTGGAGCAGGTTCAGTTGCACCGGCTCAGCATCCAAGTCCACGGCGTGACAGCTGTGGTTGCCTGACCAGAATTGTTCTGTTTGTTTGTCGTTTTTCCGTTGCGGAAACTGTTTTACCTGAAGATGCGGAAGCCCATCTGCGAACAAGACAGCAGAGCCTCCAATTGCTCCAGTCAAGCTAAAGAGGATAGTCAAAAGAGACAGCATGGCATCGGCAGTTTGGCGGGTGTCAAACGCCTCCAATTTATGGTTGAAATGCCAGTGAGGGTGTGAGGTAGTCCCATGAAACTGCTTGGATTCAGTACATATGCATAGCAGAAAAGTTAGTTAAATCATAATCAAAGAAAACAAGCGATGGACAAAGTGCTGCATCTGCTGAGCTGATTGAAAAGGCTCGCAATCCAATCATTAAAGGCGGTACGAAGGATCTGCGCCTTCGGAACCCAAGTGGGTAGGGTATGGAGACGTTTCTTTGACACGTCAGGGCAAGAGCGGACTGGCTTGGAGGGTTTCAGTCCAGTCCGTCTGAGCCGCAAACGGAGAACAATTGCGTGCAAAATGCATGTCCACAATCCTACTAGCGATGGCCTCCAACCTAATAGCGATGGCGTCCAACCTAATAGCGATGGCCTCCACCCTACTAGGCAAAAAGAATGTCCAGAATCCTATTGTCATCTTCGACATGTCATCTAAGACGACAACCTCATCGCGCTTTTGTGCCTCGACACGCGCTGAGAGGTTCACCAGAGCAAGCTATATACCCAAATGGAACTCCGTGAATGTTGGCCGTTCTTGGAAGGTCATCTTTCCAGCTTAGGATCACGGGCCTTCATTCATCCCCAGGATACATCCAGTGACTAGTTCAGAGTGCATCTCATTCGCGCATGCGATCCGCGAGATCGGAATAGCCCCTGAATTAGCGCCAGCGCATCCGCCAGGCTGGCAGAAGTGGAAGCTCAGCTGGACCATCACATAGACTTTCTCGGATTTCCATCAATTTAAACTGAATTGGTGTCTTGAGAAAACCTTCCAGTTGATCATAGTGGCAGTTTCTGTGGGTCGCAGTACTCAGTTGAGTGCTCAGTTGTTCAAGTCCTTAGACTTGCCTTAGACCCAAGTTGGCAGTTTCTCCCCACCATACTGATCTCTTGAGTTTTTTCACTATTATTGGAGGGCAAATGCAGAGAATTAAAAAACAAAAAACAACCGGGCCTCAAAATCGTGGTCACAGCTTGCTTACTGGGATTGCCTCAAACTAGGAGATGCCCCCAATGAGCCACTTCTTGCGAGAAATATGAAGACGTTTCTCGTTCTATTGCATTGAAGGATTGGGGCCCAAGCATTCCCCTCTTTTGAGACACAGCAAAGTTGCACTAATCTGCGAATTCTGCTACGGAACCGCAACGACATCACGCTTCTGCTCTGCCGCCAACTCCTGAGCTGCTACCTTGCGGAGATGAAGCAGCTGGATGAAATTTGCAGGTACAAAATCTCTGTGTTCCAAGTGCCTGAATGAGCTCTGGCGCCAGTGGCACTCCCTGTGCTACTGGTGGCAAAGGCGGCGGAGCCTGGAGCAAGGCATTGGCAGCTGCAGCACCTGCTGCTGCAGGCTCCAATGTCAGTGAATACTTGCCTCAGGCCGCAAACCTTGCTATTGAACTCCAAAAGCTTTGATCAACAAAGCAAACCAGCTTGGAAGGTGCATGTGTGGAAATGACTCAAGAATTGGTCATTTCATCAATTCTGGTAGAAAGACTGGAATGAGGGGCTCCCTTCTCAGTCTTCATGAAATCCAAGCTGCCCTGAGAGCAGTTCCCTGATTCAAAGAGCATCCACTTGAGTCAAAGAAAGCACAAGCATCGTGAACAAATGGCCAATCAGTCAATCCATGATGCCTTTCTTGCCTTCTTGATTCATGACTTTGGACAAGCTACTTGGCCGATTTACTCGAAGTCGACGACCAAAAAGTTCCTAAGTTCATGCCATGATGTGTGAGTCTGTGCTCAATACTACTAGCTTAAAGACACCATCCTGAAAGGCTGGAATGTGCTTCCAACATGCCCGAGCATGTTATTGCTCACGGAAGACATAATTTTACTTGAAATTGGTCTTATCCAAAATATCTTCGATCGACCTGTGCGGGCAAAAGTCCAAAATGCAAGATCAGTTGTTCTTGTTGTTCTTTGCTTTCCAGGTGGTTCATGAGTGGCGGAAGACTCAAGTTTGCAGGCCGATATCAATCGACCGTAGTAGTGTCTGTTGAGTGTTTTCCTTTTTCTGAATTTGCAACCGCGTTAGTTTTGCTTGATGCGTTTCTCACAATGCTATCTCACAATGCTAGCACTTTCGACTTCGTGATTTGTCTGTTTGGGGTGGTGCTTTAGAAACTTTAGTGTTGCATGCAGTGTCTTTAGGTGATGCGGTGGTTGCTCGCTTGGACGCCTTTCGCATTGTGTCTTGATCGGCACCCACTTTCACTGGCTATTGTGGCTCCTTCTACGTCACAGCAAACGGCATCATAGAGTACAGTACACCAGAACTTCCAAAATGATATTTTGTAATGATCTTTTTTAACTTACAGTATATTAATGCACAGTAATAGAAGTGTGTGTGTGTGTGAAAGAATGACTTTTGCAAGGCACTATATATACAATGTCCGTTGGCAGTGGAGGGGGGGAGTGTAACACAGCATCGAGGCAGCATGTCCTGAATGCCACCTCCAGGGAAACTGGTTACTTTGGTGTAAAAGCCAACCTTCCACGCAGTGGTCTCATACGCAGCATACGCATACCAATGTTTTCTTTACAAAAGCCGTACTGGCCTCTCTGCAGGACGCTGCGGACGCTTCAGTCCCAAGCTTCGGTGTCGTCAAAGATTGAGATTGCCCGGGTCGCAAGTTCAGGACTTTGAAAGCGCACAAAGCAGTACTTGCCCGAATCCATGAGGGTGACCTGGGCGCCAAATATGCATTTGTTGCAGCATATAAGAATATTCTTCCCCAAGTGAAAACGATTTGCCTGGTCCCTGTCTCCTGCCATTTCGAACATTTTGAAACATCCTGCCTTCGTGATGGGAGGGCCCTGGTCTGCCACATACTCTGGCAGCTCTTGCATGGCAGGCTCCACCAGTTCCCGCATCACCTCAAAACTGGGTAGTTCTTGAAGATTAAAATGCTTGTTGCTTAATGTTACATGCGCATTCCGTTCAAGCAATCAGCCGACAAGTCTGAAATAAATCACACAAAAGCGCCGAAGCGATATACAGAAGTGTTGTCCATGTTCTGGCACGCCCTCAGAGCATCTGCATCTACAGCTCTTCAGGTATCCCTATCTTTATATTGTACGTACAAGTTTGAGCACAACCTTGAAAAAGTAAGTCCGGAATTGATTTGATTAGATGCATCTTTTTCAGTTCGACATGGGACCTTCCTGATGCCAGGTGTATTGGGCACATGACACACATGAGGAGCTGGTCAGACTGGGCTGCAACCTGCTATGCTATGGCAGTTTGTCAACAGTCTTTTCCAAAACAGCTGTTCATTGGGTTCCCTGTTGACTCTTTGATTGGTGTGCCTTTAAGTGGCCCTGGCCAAGTGTCAACATGGTCCAACAGTTGTTGGCTGCCCCTGGCCTCTTCATCCACCATTCCTATGACGAGGTTCCCAAAGTACACTTCCCTCATAACGTTGCACACTTGCACCTCCACTGCGGCGACTGCGAAGCAAAACGCCAGTGAATTCATGAAGGATCCAACCCCGCCTTGCAGTCTTCCTGGCAGGGTGGCAGAAGGCCCTTCTCACGCAAAGGCTGCAAATCCAGCGCTGGGATCTCACCATTTGGGGGAAGTATGTAGTGTTGGGGTCGTCCCACACGCACTGCTCGTCCACAAAGCCTCACTTTGAAAGGTGAGCATGCAAACAGACCCGGGGCAAGATGAGGCAGTAGTTTGTAAAAGTGGTGAAGCGGTGAAGGTGTTTATTCCCTTGACCTTTGGGGTTCTTGAATGTCTTTTCCTTTGAGTCAGAATCCATGAAGCAGTCAGAACAGCTCTGCGTCCCAGATACTCAAAGCCAGACATAGCGATGGCGGTGGTAGTGAGCACATCATCCACGAATTCCACGAAGGCAAACATACCTTCAGATTTGGGAGGAAAGAAGACAGACTTGACTGTGTCCACAACATCTGGATATCGCTCGATGAAGCTGGGTATGGCATAGAAGAGCCGGTTGAAGGCTTCCTTCAGCATTGATTCATCCACCTGGAAGGAGCACAAAGGCAGGGTGCAACTCCAGACCAATGTAACACTCTTCATGTCTGAGAGTTGCTAATGTCATGGGTCGGGCCCAGTCTGGCGACTTGATTTTGTCCTACCAAATCACCTGAAAGAGCCTTCTTAGACTGGAGAGGTCTTTTCTTCTCCGTAGTGAAGGATTGCTTTGCCACACTAAGCCTTTTCAACGCACTTTGTTCTGCTAGGGGGTGCCCGCTCACGCCCCCGCACAAAAAACGGTCAAGACATACGTTGTTCGATATTTAACTTAACTGTTTTTACCCCGCCTTGGTGAATAATTTGGCCAACAGACCTAGGAAAAAAATGTAAAGAAAAAACTTGTTCGATATTTACCGTTTTACCGCGCCTTTGGTAAAAGCTTTTGGCCAACAGAACCACAACAAACGGTTTACCGTTGTCACCGTGCCTTTGGTAAAATAATGTGGCCAACAAAGCAACAATGCACACAGTAAACATTTCCAACATGGAAACCTAGGTAACCCGATGGTTCTTTCTTTAGCCGCGGATGTCAATCAAACAAGATTGACATGTATGTATAATATATATATATACATTATGTTTGGACCCGGAAAAAAACGAGTACAAAGGAAGTCGCTTTCTACCGGTTTCACAGCATCTTTCCCACAGACCCGTGGAAAGCAGTAAAAAAGGCAATGCGTTTATCCATAAATGTTTACAGCGTTCTAGTAAAAAGTACAAAAAACAACATAGAAAACGGTAACTTTGTGCTTTGCTATTTTTGCCACGCGTGTGGTCAACAAATGGGCGACCGACCCAGGAAAAACGCGACAAAAAGAGGCATGTTGATTTTTACCGTTTTTTACAGCGGAAGTGTTTGAGGGGAACCCCGTAGCCCGAGCAACACCACTAAACCAGCACCGCATACTTCGTAATCAAGGTGCGAGCGCTTCTTCAAGGAAGCTCCCCCGGAAGCTTCCTTGAAGAAGCGTGAGCTATCCTGCGTCCTAGGTAGTAGCGTACTAGCAAGGTACTAGCTACAGTACCTAGCTTCTACTAGCTACCTCTTCCTACTAGGTCCTCTACGGCCTACACCCCCCAAGTGGTTTAATCAGTTTAGTCGGTCGAAGATGGACAGATCATACAAGACTGTACAAAAGCGACACCACGCCTTGTTCTGCGGCAGGTTGCCCACATAGCATTCCCGACGCTTCTTGCCACCAGGCAGTAGAGACTCGGCCAAGCCACGTTGACTCAGAAACTTCTGCTCGGGATCGGTCGGATCAGGCCTCAAACGCGATTGAGTCTTGTTCGGAGGTTTTTCAGCAGTTTCATCTTGAATTCATTTGGTGCTTCGGCCATGGTTTCTCCTTGAGCACGACTTACGAACCTCCTTAAACAATGCGGAACTAAGGACAAGTGAGCAATGAATGCACTAATGATTAATGCACTAGCCATATCTATTCACGTGGAATCGCCCAACCGCACCCTGCAGATCTGAAGCCAGCCCCCGTCAAGGACCGCGCCTCACATCCCACCTGGATTGACGGCCTGGTTTAGAGCGCTTGGGGGCCGGTGGCGTGCGACTTCTGAAAGATCTCAGCCCTCGCCGTGGGGTATGACTCCTGCGGCTCCTGAGGCTCTGGTGGGGCTTCCACACTAGTACAAGTCAAATCTACAACAGGGTGCACCTCCAGATTCTCAGGTCATGATCTAACTATGAACCAGGGTTAAAGCTGAAGGTCTGCGAAATGTGAAGATGCCTCATGTACAAGTAATCATGTAGCAGTGCGGAAAATAACATGAAATTGAAGAACAGCACCCTGTTGCCCGGCTGCCATAGCATGAGATTATTTCGCTTCCATTCTTGCAACTCCAATTGAATCACTATGCCACTGTGCAGTCCTTCCACTGCTCCGATGACGTCGCGAGCCACCTGGTGATGGCAATCCCAGCTCAGCACGGGTGCCAGCCCATTCTGCTCGCCTTGGTATCTGCACTCAAGAAAAAACAACCAAGGTCTCGCCAGTTCGATTTTGACAGTACTCAGTGGTAGAAAGGCTGATGAACCTTGGAACGAGTTTCAAGGCCTGGTGTGGAAAAAAATGAGAGAGAGAGAGAGATACACAAACGAAAAAGGACGGGAAAAATAGACGTAGATATGAAACAGTGCAGAACATGCATATGGAATGCATATGAATGCATCATTCATACTATGTACTAGCTGTACAAAACCGATCAAAATACTTTCAACCAAAGCGAAAAAGGTTTGCGTCCAAGTTGCCGGGGTGGTCGCTTGCCCCAACCTCTTTTGTTCACCTCTCGTTCTGGGACGGGTTTTCCACATGAAGCTTGCTTGATTGAAACAACAAAACCTTTCAAGGAAAGAACTTAGCACGTGGTCAGAATGTCAATTCAGCACAGCAGAGAAGCATTGCTGACAAGCAAGCAAGTCAAAATGCTAGGAATCTGTTCCGCCAACATGAACTTTAGGGCATAGTGCGTAGTATCCGGATTTGTAGCTAGAATTGCCGAAACCTTCCTAGCAACATCTAAAAACCTTTCAAGAAGGCCTTTGTCTCTACAAATCTCAAAGGACCTCGCCTCCTGGCTTCTCTCGTCCCGCGAGCGTTTCCGCTTGCCACGTCGAAGCACGGAGCGTGAGGAGCGCGAGGAGCGTGAGGAGCGCGAGGAGGGCGAGGCCGGCCGTGGCTCGGAGGGTGCTGCGCCGCCCTCCTGAGTAAACTAACCTAAAAGCCATGGCCTCCAACCTAGGAGCAATTGATCTCAAATGATTCAACCATACCATGTTCAACCCTGGCTTGGCTGCCTTGGCGCAAAGGCTCACGTGGTTGTAGCAAAAGCATCTCTGTCTATAGATCTTTTTCCCCAGGCTGAAGTTCTCCGTCAAACTAACGAATCGTGGTTGAGATATGTACCTAGCCGCTATCCTTCACTAATTCTAGGCCTATGAGTTGCTCACGTGTCGATGCTATGCATATATTATGTGACTTGGACCTGGGCATACTTGCACTTCTTTGCACTGCTTTTGCTCTCTCTCTCTATATATATATATATGTCAGTCGCTCATTCGCTCCTCAGATTCTGATGCCTCCTCATCCTCCTGCCAGAAGCAGCATCTGATGTTGTGGCAGAATTCTAAGTCTAGGAATCTAATGCCAAAAAACTTTATTGAAGCCTTGCCTTCGTGGCATGTCATGCATTTTAACTGGTGGGATTCCCCCAGCTCTATTGAAAGTGGACACATGCGAGAACGCTGTTGAAACAACTATCAACATGACCCCAGTTCCATCAAACCTGCTTTGTGGGAGACATCCACAACGGGAAGCTGCAGCAAATCCGAGCCTCTTCAGTCCTGGGCTCAACAATGAGGTCAAAGGCTTGCAAAGCCAAGAGGTGCAACGGTAGGTGTCCAAAGATTTAATCGAATGAGATCAGGTTGGAAGACCAGCTCTTCTGGCTCCTCAATGCAGCCAAAGCGCTCTTGACTTTCCAGGTCTTCGGCTTCTTCAGATGTCTCTCCGATGTCCTGACAGCATGATGAAGCATGTGTGTTCCTTTCTAGGCCTCTGAAACCGTTCTCTGGCTTGCTATGTAAGTTGAGGGATGTGGTTGCCGCGGTGTGGACCAACATTTGACACAAAACTGTAATCTGACACTGGGAACACAACAAACTGCAAATACAAAGGCGTGCATTGGCTACCCCGCCCCAACCTCGCTGCTCTTGTCATCAGCTTCGGATAGATCCCTGAGTGGCCAATAGTCTTAGCTTGAGGTTATGATTCAGAATGTGTTATTTTCTCTGATTTCAATTCCATGAAGGCCTCAGTTCCCTATTATTTGGAGACGGTCTTGTCTTGTCGCAGGTCACGAAGTAAAACCTAGCAGTCTAAGGATAGAACCCTTCGACGTCCGCTGAGAGCTTCTCCACACTCTCGTCTGGGAGTTCGCCTTCTTCTGCCTGCAAAATCATCGATCACATCCAGAGACAGGCCATGAGTCAGAGTCACTTGTTACTAGTAGCTTCTTGTTACTAGGTAAGGCACTTGTTACTACTAGTAAGGCACTTGTTCCTGAATCACATGATGGCACATGATGGCACGACTTCCCAAATGTTCCTGTCCTCATCGCTATTCGCTGAATCCACTTTCCTTGCACATCAACTTGAGTCATTGGAATATATTGGAATGTCGAAGGGATCGCCAGAGATTACATTGTCGTGGATTTCTAACGATTCTGAGACTGTGTTCTATCTCGGTCGTTGAACCCACATTCTTGCAAAACCCGCAGCCAAGTGGCAAGGGGAGCAGATCTTCACACCTCTTCTCCTCGCCATTTTCCTGCATGGAGTTTGCTTGAAGAAGTTCCAACAGTCTCATCAGCCATATGTCATCAGATTCATCAGCACCCCGGGCCCCCCTCCACCAGAGTGGCCTCAAGACTGTGGCCAGCTTCTTTTCCTAAGAAAGAACCCCAATTGATTCGGTTTCTTGCATTGAAGGCCCGGACTGGTGCGTGACCAAGGTGAGACACCATCCGGAAACGGTTTGGAGAAAAGGGAGGTTCCAAGAAGCCTCTAGAAAATGCTGGCCGGGTGTTTCAATCCTTCACCAGGCGTCCCTGTCCTCAGCTCTCTGCTGGAGCCTCTCCGAGCTGGGTTCCACAGAGACTGTCCTGCAAGGCAGCACAGACCGGATTTCCTAAAGAACACTCCAAACAGCAAACATGTCCGCCTAAAGGAAAGGATTCGAAAAGCCCTTTCCTAATCGGAGAGCAGGAGTTTCTGAGAAGATCAAGGTCGCTGTGCTGCCAAGGTGCTGCCCAACTTGAGAAGTATAAGAGTCAGAGCCCTTAGTAAATTGAAGTGTCAGAACTGTCACTTTCTTTGAGCAAAAAGGCTCCAATGTGCTTTGTTCAATAGGCAGCATCGATGCTCAAGTCTGTTCAGTTTTTTAAAGCATGCCCAGAATGTGACTTGGTGACAGAACCAGCAGCCAGCCACACGAGGACTAAAACAGGCTGCCGCCCTAAATCGGTAATGCATTCTAGCCTAAGCCCAATATACTCCCATATAGCTGCTTCGTTTAAACTTGATCGCGGTCACCCGGGCAATCATAAACACTCTGAGGGTGGAGCAGCGACAAGTGCCGAAGTGCCTGCCATATGGAACAAAATTAAAGATTTGTTTTGCATATGCATAGGAACCTGGTGTGAAACATTTAGAAACAAATTGCCTAGGCTATCGCAGGCCCCAGAAGCGCCTTTATGAAGTTGCCATTCCCCAAATCAGGCCTTGTCTGTCAATGAAGCTGCTATTGTCTCCACGTTAGACATCCCAGGTGAACCCAGTGCAGCCCCAATCGCCTTTCTCCACAGAGGGCTTTTGATCAAGTACCTGCAAACAAATTCGTCGCAGGCTAAGCCAGCTCCGAGTCTGTCAGGCCGTCAGGACATCCTTGTGCTTGGGGGAACATACCCCAACCAAATAGCCCAAGGCGTTTTCTTGATTCTTAACCGCCTCATTCAGGCAAGAAGGCTTGGACAACAAACTACTTCTTACCAAAGTGTTGGTGAGTTTGGTGTCATGCGATCTGCCGCGAAAACACTTGTCCAGGTTCCCGAGTTCGAACCGTTCTCTTGTCACTCTTTCTTCCTCAGATTGTCTGCTTGAGCTCCAGAAACTGAGGGTGCTTAAGACCAAGGTACGTCTATTGGTTCAAAGTCTGTGGATTGCACATGTTTGTACAATCATGTTCCGTCTTAACTTATCAACGGCTGGAAACGACTGGAGAAAGCAAGACCCTTTCTCCACAGCGACGACGCTTGGGCTTTGACCTCAATGTGGATGCGATAAAGAGCATATTAAATGAAATTTGAGTTTCTTTTGACAAGTTCGCGGTGATGGTTAGAATGTTTGATATTAATTATAAGAACCTTTGTGAAGTGACTGATGCCAACATCTAAGCTAGATGCTTTGGGACTTCTGTGAGAAGCATTTCCATCTCAAGATCCTGCCAGTCGGAACATCTGTATCTTCGTGCTGCAGTCTAAAGAAGTTGAGACCTGACGAAGACTCAATTGAGGTTCCGATCACAACTACTACTCGAGAGGCCCCTAAAGCCTTCATTTTTGTTCCCGTGGCAGTCCCTGAATCCCAAACAACCAATTGCCAATTCCACATTGCTGAGGACATGCATTTGAGTCTGAAAGTTCTGATGATTTCCAAAACGTTCTGCCAGCTTCCAATACAAGCAGTCATTCCTCATCCATCTCATTCGCTGCGTGTGTCCAGGCTGCGCACACCTCCAACAGAAATAGAATAGAACCCAAAATGCTTGGTCAGGAAAGAAGCCAACCAGACTGCCTTCAGTGCTACTGACAAGGTAGTTGTTGCAACTTATCCAAACACCTACTGAGTAGACCTGTTGAACCACACCAACATCTAAATGCTGCCCCACATGCTAGTGTGGGGCGCTTACTTATGACGGGGCTGTCCCGCTCCTCCTGCCGCCGCTCCCGCTGCTCACTCACATCAACTCACACACACACCAACTTACTCACATCAACTCGCTCACGCCAACCAACTTCCAAACACCAACTTTCTCACATCAACTCACACACACCAACTTGCTCACACCAGTTTACTCAGTTCGATTCAGGGATGCTTGCAGCATTTTCACATGTTCCGATGTTCCTTCTGTGCTGCGCGCTCAACTTGACAAATCTCATCCTTTGCCATTTGGTGGACATGGTCGCAAGGTGGCCGCTCGTGTCGAGATCTCAAACCACCTCACTGTGCCTAGGTTCCTGAATGATGGTATCACGATAGAGGAGGTCCAGTACACTCCAATCTCTGGGGTGGCGCACTTTGGGAAGAGACAAAGCTTGTCATTTTCGTGCGCACTGAAGCGACATGGCACTTCACACGATGGTTGGTTTTCGTGTGAGGATGGGGATCCCCCCCAATCACACGCCTGCCTGGTTTGAGTCGCAGATCACCTTGGTCTAGGCGGTCCGAAGCAGCGAAATGACCACGATGAGAGCGGTTGAGCATAGCACGGAGCCCTGTGATGGGACCACTGTGCTTCAACTTTTTGCTAACTGATTGGGCTCCGAGGCTTGAGGGCAATGAACGTTGCAAGGTGCACAGTCCATGGAGTCAATCTCCAAAACACTAGAGCCGTGATAGAGCTGTCACGTGAAGCTTACGCAATGCCGCATTCGCAGCGTGGCCTCCAAAACACAAAAAAATACAAAGACACCAAACTAGGTCCACGGCGCATAGACGGTGGTGGGGTAATCAAGGACGGTCGTGGGGCAATCAAGTTCAAATATGCGTAATTCCATAAGGAGTGATGTGAGCGACACTTCATCATTGGAATCATCGTGAATTCCATGCAGATTTGGATAAAATCAGAATGGTGATTTCGAAGCATTTCGAAACTACGCAACTACTTTTGGCGTCGGACATGTGTGCGACTTTGTCACTCTTCACAGGAGCTCCTCCAAGCGGCGCAAGAACTGAGCCGGTGTGGCACATGTCAAGCTTTGTCGCCAAGCCCACATGTACACGCACTGCGGCGCGCTGGGATGCATTTGAATGTGCTTCCTGTCTTTGCATTTCACAACTAGGTTGGCCGGCAAAAAGGCTTTAAACTCTGCCAGCTTCTATCGGGCATCTGCGTGCCTGCGACATTCGAAACATCTTTGTAAACAGTCGGACACTGAGAAGTGAAATTTTTCACTTGGTGGACAACTGACTGCAGCGGCAACCCACGAGCTTCTGCCGCGGATTGCCAAGCCTTGTTGCCATCTGGGCAGATGACACTGCGGCCGGAAACACGGTCCAAAAAACCGCACGCTTCAACTTGAGCTAGTGTCTCAGTGACAGGACGATGGCCCGCTGGAGTGACCTCATGAGCAGGCGTGGTAGCACTGTTCAAAGAATACGGTGAACACGCAGCCGAGGAGCATGAGCGACCCAAACAGACCAGCGTGTGGCTGCGCTCCCAGAACCATAATGTGGCGCACACAGGACTTCGGCAAACCTTCTCCTTTGCGGATCCATCCCTGTTGAATCTTCCGAATCTGATCCAGGTGCCACATGTTGTCTGCCGCCATATGATACTTTCCAATGAAGGTCGCGTCCACCTCCACTGCTCCCTGCAAAGGGCAAGTCTGGCTGAAGCGCGTTCCCGCACTACTTTCCAGTATGCGAAGACAGGAAAAGAAGTGTTTGATGCAAGTGCGTCCATGCCCGGTCGCCTCGAAGCAGGGAGTCGCAACATGGACATGGAGAAAACATCATCCATGAGATCAGGGGTCTGGGTGGACAGTCCAAGGGTCCTCGGACCCGTGCCCCAGCCCAGGCTCCTCCTCCCAGATACTGAGCGGCCCCAATCCCCGTCGTGACTGCTCTTCTCGATGGCCTTTAACCTCTGCCCTATCACGTCGGCTGCGTGAGCCGGTAACTTGCAGGCCAGCATGTCCAATGCGGTGCACAGAGTCCTCATCTCGCGATGCGCCCTCATGCCCAACCACGGGCCTAGTTGGGGTACGATCATCGCGTGGAAGTAGTGCACCGCTGAGGGCGGGGTCAGCCCTCCCCGTTCGATCGCGCTCGCCCCCACAGCTCCCTGGGCCCCTTCTGTCAAGAAGCCTTGATGCTAGGCGGCCCGGCGTCTTCTTCGCGTACTGCATCAGCTTGAGCTGATTGGATGCCTTTGGAGCTGCGGGGGCTTCGCGAAAAACTGCTTCGGAATCACTGAATGATTCACCTTGGTAGCGGACAATGTCGCCACATCCAAACGTCCAAACGGTCCCCGATCCTTACGGCCCTTGGCCTTGCGGTCATCGGTGCTGGCAGCGCCTGCTTCACCAAAGAGGCCCTCATCCTCATCCTCACTGTAATACGAAGACTCCATGGCCTTCTTTCGCTTGCCCTTGCCCTCACGGGTCTCTTTCTCATGAGCCCAGTCATCTTTGGCCTTAGCCTTGACATTTTCAGGGGAGGGTGAAGCTGCACGCTTCTTCCTTTTCTTCACCGTGTCCCTGACGTCACCCCTTCGACCATGGGCACGCACTTTTCTAGCCTCCGGCGAAGACTTCTTCTTCTTCTTCTTCTTCTTCTTCTTCTTCACAGCTCCCTTCTTGTCTCTGGCTTTGGAACCTTTAGCAGGGGCTTTCTTCTCCGTCAATTCCTCCTTGAGGCGCTTAACTGCATCCCGCGCCTTCATCAACTTTGCCTTGAGGCCCTTCTTGCCCGAGCTTTCGTCAGTCGACAACTCCTCGTCCTCCTCTGACTCTTCCTCACCTGGATCTACCCACGCAGCTGGCGCCAGGCTCCATGTCCCTCTCGAAGGCCAGGTAGTCCTTACTTGAGCCCTTCTCGAATCCCACCCTGCCCCTGGTTGTCCATCTCTTTCTGCATCAGGGTTCTGAACTTCTCCACATGGATGGATGCTCCACGCCTTGAGGCGGTGCAGTCGGCTTCACAGAAGTGATACGAGCACCTTGTCACCAACCTCTTTCCTTCACCTTCAGACATCCACCACTTCATGTGGGGGTCACTTGCGCACACGAACCTGGCGCTCACCCAGTGACCCTTGTCATCGGTGGAAATCGGCTCGATCACCTCTATGATGATGTAGCCCTGGGCGCGTCCGTCATTGTCGCGGGTCGCACCTTCCACTACATCGCCGCGGTGGAATCTATGCCTAAACCACCGTTCACGGTCTACACCCCCCGCCACCCACATTGGAGTGGCGGGGGGGGTAACTCACAGTTGCCTCTCAGCCAACAGCTCGGAAGAGAAGGAGACATATCTTCGTGGTTCCACTACGTTTCAACAACACCCAATGCAATATATTTTATTTACGTAATCTATCTTTAAGTAGTTTTTCCAAAAGAATGCCTTATATTAATCTTAGAATAGTTACTTAAAGAGGTTAGTCAGTTAAGTATATTAGTGGATGGATTGTATGAAGGATTTGCCAGTAAATGTGTTGAGTAATATTGTATCATATACTCATGGAGAACCTGAATATGTGAAAATAAAACATAGTGAAGCATTGAAGAGAATACAAAACAAATACAAGATTTCGAGACTTGGTCCTAAAATGACAAGACATTTGAAATCAATAAAAAAGATATACAAAATTGAATACTGTATTATAAGAGAGGGAGTGTCATTTAGTTTGACAAGTATAGAAGACATAATAACAGAAGAACAAGAAGAATTACTATCTTTGATTTATGAAGAAGTAGAAGATGTTTTATTTATAGAGTTAAACTTGATATTGAAGTTCAATTGGTGGCAAAACTCCCAGAAAAGGAATATGGAAAAATGAATGTAGCTATAGAGAGATTTACTGTATGAATGACTTTGATGAATAT